TTAGGGTCCTGAGATTGAGCCCCGCATCAGGCTCTCCATTCAGTAGGGAGCCTGCCCCACCCCCAGCCTGCCTTTCTGCCTCCTTGTAATCTCTGTCAAATAAATAAATAAAATCTTTAAAAAAAAAAGAGAGAGAGAGACCGTCTAGATACCTTTCTATGGCAGCCCCTTTCCCTTGTCCACTACTTTCCATACGAGCTCACAGACGGGGTGCAGCATGGCAAGGAAGTGGGGAACAAATATAACTGTGGGTAAAACAGGGCCAGATCAGGACAGGAGAAACTGTCTTTGTAGAGCCTAATAGATCGTTCCAGGACAATGCCTAAATTCTCCAAATAACTTAACACAGACAGCTGGGAAATAGCTTAATGAGAGAGTCCCCAGGCATGATCATGAATATTGGTTGGGGCCAGAGTCTGTCACAATTGCTGTTTCTGGCTATCTTTCTCTGTAATCAAAGTTCTGAACTGCCCTCACCTTCCATGTGTCCTCACTTGGGCCCCTCACAAAGCACAAGCGAGGAGCCCACTAAGTGAGCCCACGAAAGGCGGCCAGCTAGAATCCCAGGGATTCACATGAACCCCTACCCTGCACTTTGGGCAACGCAGATCTGCAGAATCACTTCCAAGCCAAACACCACATTTATTCAGCATCCTCAGTTTAGTTTCTCAAAAGGGCTGCATGTGATTGAGACTTTCTCAAAGCAATAGAGCGCTCCCTGCTGGGTAAATGGCATCGCCGTTAAACTGTCCGTTACCAATGCACCAAAATCTGAAAATATACCTTTAGTGAATTAACATCGTATAAGACCCAGAATCAACAGTATGACTCATAGTGATAAAGTTGTCAGTTATAGGAATTATATATGGATTTGGTGATAAGTTGATTTTTTACATGTTTCATGACTCCTGAGTTCCTAACAATTTTTTTTTAGATCTTTATCTCAATTATGGAAACAAGGAAAACATTTTGAAGTACTCAATGTTCCAGTAGGATTTCCCACTCATTTCAGAGAAGAGTGGTCACAGAAGATCTCACAGGGGAGGAGGCTGCAAGGTCCAAGGAGAGGACATGGGTTTGGAGATCAGCCAGACTAGGTTGCTAGAGTGGTTTCAGCTTGGAACAAATTGTTCGATTTTGAGTTACCATCTTGTGATCACAAGGACAATAATATCCACCTTCAAAAGTGTATGTGAGGGCTAGAGATCCTGTGCCTGAAGCACTCAGAAGCGCTCAGTTAACTGTGGGTGTCATTGTTACTGTTACTCTATTATTATGAAGTGGGTCTAATTGGGCTTCAAAGGATCTGCCGCTTCCAGACACAGAGCCTACCTTCCCAGGGGGCAGGGGCTCCATCTGGCTCAGAGAATTTGCCCCTGGGTCACAAGGGCAGTGCTCACACTGGGCACTCCACTTTCTTTTGAACCCCACAACCACACTTTGGGTGCTGGCTTTGTGATATACACCTCTCACTGGGCCCATCTGGACAATTCTCCTTGTAAGAGATCCCTCCAGTCCCTCTAATTCCACATCTGTCTTGTCAGCTCAAGCTACCTTCATCTCTCTCTTGAGCCAGTGCAAAAGCTCTTCTGTCATTCCATCTCTGCTCTTAGCTGCTCAAACTCAGAGTAACTTCTGTTTGATAAAATGAGATCCAGTTGGGGCCACTCCCCTAGCTCCCCCAGCTTACCTGCCTGCCTTGCTTGTAATGCCAGTCTCACCCCTGGGCTTTATGCAATTTGCTCTCCCTGCCATCAATCCTCAGCCCCCAGATTCCTCCCCTGGCTACTCCTTCCCATCCTCCAGGTTTTGGCTCAGACACTCAAGGTGGGTACGAGAAATAGCACACTTTATTTTCTTCAAAGCAAATTGAATTTTTTTGGCCTCATTCTGCTGTGCTGCAGCAGAAATTAAATCTGTGGTGGCCACTAGGGTGTTTCTTCCTTTTAGGGTCTCACAGTTGTTTGGGATGTTCATGAGTGACCTCAAAAGTGGGCGAGGACTTCTATTCTTCAGCTCATCTGGGTCACGGCTGCTATCCTCAAGGCCAATTCTGAGGGGCTCCGGAAGGAGGGGGCTCCAATACTTGGGAGTCCTTGCCTAGGCTGGAAAACAACCCCAAAACACGAGCCTCTGAAGCTCATCTCACTGGGTACCACCAGCAACTGGAGCACAGCATTCCACCACTTTTGAAGCTCCTCTCTCCTTTCCTCCCCTGCTTCCCAAGCAAGGGTTAGGGTTGTTTTTTAATTCATCTGTTCCCTATTGGGAACAAGAAGCTCAAAGGACCTAACCACTTACTTGGAGGAGGAAAAATTTCATAAACAAAATTACTATTTGAAGTTATGTGCTACAAGTCTTGTTATAACATCTCACCATGATCATCCAGTCTAAGTCAGGTCTCCCAGACCCACTCTCTATACCCTGTGGTATAGGGCCGCACTGCTGGGGCCCAGTCTGGTCTGTCCATACACCCATCCTCTGACTACTGGCTCTGTGTTGGCTACCAAGAGTATGGTCACACTGTCCTCCAGGTAGCCTTGAACCCCGGCAATACCTGCGGTATTTCTTCCCAGGGGACAGCGGGAGGGGAAGAACCAACGACTGGGCATTGCACACTGGATACAAAGGCCTAGCTACTTGCCTCCAGCTGGGGAAACGTGGTGACCTCACATTCCTAGCACCCATGGAACCTGGCTCTTGACTTCAGCTTGGCGCTCTTTGTTTAGCCTCCTCTGCTCTAGCCTGTTTCCCTCACAGGCTCCTCCTGAGAGCACAACCTCAATAAATCCCTTACACACGAGACTCTGCCTCAGGCTTTGCTTTCAGGTACCCAACCTAAGTGACAGCCTATTATTTCCCTTCCCCACACATGTCACAATTTAAAATCATAGATGTGAAGAACTATTGGCTTGATGTTTGTTTCTCCCACTAAACAAAGGCAGATGTACTTCTGTTCACTGCTATACTCCCAACACCAAGGGAGATGGCTTTTACGAAAGGCGATGCATTGAACTGGACACTGCACGAACACAGCCTCTCAAACCTCGCTCTGCAGACTTCCCTCTTGGGTGCTGTGCGACATTTGCTTGAAAAGCCTCCTAGCATCTCTTGGGGCCATCATCCTCAAGCCAGTCCTAGATTCCCAAGCCGCAGTGGACAGTGTGGCCCAGGTTTGGTCACCTCATTCCTGACACAGTGAGCTGTGGTTTGGGCACCACATCACAGGTCAAACTTGGCGTGGGGAGACCGTTCTTTGATGAGGGTGTAAGCCAAGCAGATACATCAACAGTTCTCTATCTTTACAGGCATCATACTGTGATTCAGTGAAAATCAAGACAGCTTTCACATTTTACTGGTCTACCTATATCCCTGGGAAAGGCTGGATTCATATGAACATACCCTAGATTCCTTGATGTCAGCGTCTTAGCTGTTACATACAAGACTAGTTATAGTAAAACCCTTATTTAATTAGAATGTGTAAGAACCATGGCATTCTAGGTACTTTCAGTTTTTGAAAAACTGTTTTCTCTTAATATACATTTTTCCTGAACATTAGACCCCTCTTTTCTACTGGGTTGTCTGTCTTTTGTTATTGAGGGACTGGTGACTTGGGGTCTTTATTCTGAGATGACTGACTTGTAGCCAAGACATGACGCACAGGGAGATCAGCCTGCATGTGTCTGGATTACAGGAGTTGCTACAACCCCGTTTCCGATTGAAAACCTAAAATCAGCCCATTTGTGATATACTTCTTCCTAAAAGCTAGGTAAACAAAAAGACCCCTAAAAAAGAAGAGGGGTGCCTGGGTTCAGTCAGTTGGGTATCTGCCTTCGACTCCTGTCATGATGCCAGGGTCCTGGGATGGAGCCCTGTGTTAGACTTCCTGCTCAGCAGGGAGCCCACTTCTCCCTCTTCCTCTGCCCAACCCCCTTCAGGTGCACATGCTCTCTCAAATAAAATCCTAAAAAACAAAACAAAACAAAATGCAGAAGACACGTCAGCGATTCAGTCTTTCTAGTTTTTGAATGAGGGATACAGAAATAGAAGTCAGGGCCTCTTCCCACGGTTCACAACCTAGGTAAGAAAACGTTGAGATGCCACTTCACAGAGGCAAATGATTCCAGGAGATAAATGTCCATGTTTTCAAAATAGGAGTTGTTTTTTTTTTTTTTAAGATTTATTTTTGAGAGAGAGCGGGAGAGAGAGTGAGTGGGGGGAAGGGCAGAGGGCAAGAGAAATCTCAAGCAGGTTCCCTGCTGAGCATGGAGCCCGACCTGGGGCTCCATCCCAGGACCCTGAGATCATAACCTGAGCTGAAATCAAGAGTCGGATGCTGAACCGACTGAGCCACCCAGGTGCCCCTCAAAATACAAGTTCTTATATACATGTATAACTGAACATGTTCTTCATGGTGTTTCCGTTGTATCCGAAAGGGCTGTGAAAACACAAAATCTTGTTACTGAATAAAACTAGTGGTCCAGATAGCCAAAGGTCCTTTCCGATGGCACCTAATTAACTTGTACAGAGCAGAAGTACCTGTCAGATAACCTTTAATCTATGAATTTATCCAAATTTTGAAAATGCCACAGGGGATCTGAGGAATCGCAACAATCCCAGATATCCATCCTACAGTGAGGGGCTCTACACCGCTGTTCAGAGGGAGGCATGTGAGAAGTTAACAGTCCCCTCACACCTGGCTCCTCTGTCTTTGCCCAGCCCTCTCATCTCTTCAGTCACCTATGTCATGGGACACAACTCTGACAGTAAAGCAAAATCAGAGTGAAAGGCAAATGTTGAACCAGTCATGTTCAAACACAAGCTAGTGAATGAAGAACTTTTGGTTCAAAGGGCCAAATATTCTGCATTCCTGAGAAATCTCAACCGGTTTCTCATTCTGGTGTTTTCACACTGCATTTTGTTGTCACAAAAACTAGTTGGGTGTATATTTTTTAGTGTAGATTTATCATGTCAAGATCTGAATGAGGAGACAGAAAGAAAACATTTTGTATCTATGTATTTTTCAAAAACCTGTCCATGAGAAAGGAGCCAGGTGTTAGTTTCCCACAGGGGGAACATTCTCATGGAGATACTGTAAGGCCAAGTCGGTCCACTTCATTTCTTGCTCTTTAACAGATTCTGTGGTGCCACCGTTGTCCTGTTCAGGTTCAGGAAGCTCATTCTGCAAAGGTACAATAGACATTCAGAATGCTGGTACACTCTGCATTAAGAAACCCCTTAAAACTCAAGAGCACTTAGAAATGAAATCAAACCTCTGAGTTCTTAGAAACAGGCAGTATAACGGACAGAAATCTATCCTAAAGAAAGAACTAGGATGAACGGACCTTTTATCTCCTCTTGGGCAATCAGAGGAAAGAGTAGCCATCACCTCAGAGGACAGCTGTGAAACTAAATGGGGTAACTGAGATGGAGTGCTCACCCCTGCAGGCAGCCATCTGATGCTCAAGGAACGGCTGCTCTTATTACTAGAGGCTGGGCTCACCGACAAGACCCAATACTAAGTCCTTTTTTGGGAGGCTGCTTTCATTGAATACCACATTTGCTGGAATATTCCTTAAGTATAAGAAATGTATTTTAACAAACTATCCCGTGCCCATCATGCCTATGTTCTTACGGAGGTGGGTGGTGAGGGCTGAAAATGTTAACATACTAGGTGAGGTGTCACCCTAGTGCTAGAGCACAGCAACACAAACCCTGGCAAATGACCGGTTCCTCCCCTGCTAGCATCTGTCTTAGAATGGTAAGCCATGGACCACACTTACTAGGGAATGTGACATATAGTGTTTTTTTCAGCTTGAACTTTAATTTACATAGAACACTGTGTGAGTTTATGGTGTACCACACGATGATTCGACACATACATACATGAAGTGATTATCACGATAGGGCTAGTTAACATACCTGTCACCTCATATAGTTAACTATGTTTTTATGGGTGTGGTAAGAACTTTTGGTAGTTTCCGTATATTTTAAATTTAAATTTCTTATTACCAGGAGTCTGCTTTATACTGGAGTTTACTGACACCAATATATCTCTTTTCAATTATTTCAATTTATACTTTTTTGGGGGGCAACAAACTGTTATTCAATATAGAGACTTTCAATTTCGCACTGATTCCAATTTGCAGCACATGAATGTTTTTCTCTTTCAAAAATATGCTCAATATATATAAAGTGACTTACAACATGTACAAATGTATCTGAACACATGTTGTTTTGAGCACATATGTTGTTTTATAAACATAATATTGAGACTCAAACATATTTGTATGAATTACAAAGAACTATCATTTACTGTAGAGCAATCATACATTCAAACCTAAAGAGTAAGTTTGGTTCCAATAATTATTTATAGCTCACAAAGCACAAACAAGTCCTTGGTTTGTGAATTATTTAACTGACAGACAAGTAACTTAATTTCATCTCATCTGTGGTATGTGTTCTTTTTTTTTTTTTTTTTAAGATTTTATTTATTTTGAGAGAGAGTTAAGGCTAGGGTTAAGGTTAGAGAGAGAGAGCATGTGTGTGTGTGTGTGTGTGCCCAAGCAGACTCTGAGTGCACTAAGCCCAGAGCCCAATGCTGGACTCGATCCCAGGACCAAAAGATAATGACCTAAGCTAAAACCAAGGGTTAGATACTCAACCAACTGAGTCACCCAGGCACCCCTTCGTGGTATAACTTCTAAAACAGTATCTTTCATTTGGTCACTACTGTCTCTTACACTGAATGCCAAGATGAAAAAATGTGTACGTGCTTTGAAACCAACACAAAGTATCATAAACTATCATAAACACAACTATCAATTATGGCTTATTGCAAATTGGCCACAATTCTTGGCAGCTACTCCCATGAAAAGGCAGAGTCTTATTTCCCCAATTTCAGATTGGGACTGACTGAGTGACTTGCCTTGGCTAGCAGAGAGCAGCCACAGTGTCCTTGGGCCCATTCTTGGCTAAGCTCCATGAAGCCTCACAGTCCTTCTCTTGCTGTTCTTGGAACCCTGAGATGGCCAGGTGCAGTCTAGGCTAGTCTGCTGGATAATGAGGCTTTGACCTCATCATCCCAGCTGACCTGCTACCTACCAGATGTGTGAAAAGTCTCCTCATCCCCCAGCCTCCAGCTGGCCTGCCGACTGACTGCAGAACACCAGCAAGTCCAGCAGGGATCAGCCGAGCTGGAAAGACTGGAAGACCCTCTCAGCTGAGTCACAAAATCATGAGATAAACAGCTATTGTTTGAAGTCACTCTGTTTGGGGGAGATCTGTTAGGCAGCAACAAAAGCTAACCAGTGCACATTCCCTGAGAGTCATGAAACAGGAAAAGACACAGAATAACAAGAAGGCCAGGCTACAACCTGGAAACTTCCTTCTCCCTCAACCCCTTCCACAGAAGTGGTCCCCAAATCCTGCCATATGCCTGCAAAATTCAGCAGTTCCCCTCCACCTACTTGCCTTTGTTCAGGTTCTCCTCCCCATACTACTGCGATCACTTCCTCACTGGTCCCTCTGCCCTATCACTCGCCCCCTTCTCCATGGCACACATTCCCTAACAATTCCCTTCTGAACATTCTAAAACTCAAATTTGAGTGTGGCAGATTTCTAATTTGAAAACCACTCATTCCTGGTTATCCTCAGAATGAAGTCTAAGCATGGCGTCATATACTTGTCTCAAAATCTGGTCCAAGCCCATCTTTTCTGCCTACCTTAGATGACAAATATAGTCTCTGTTCACAATGAATGTCTCACCATCTCCCAAAGCCTTTCAAAATTCTGAGCCTCTGCACATCTGTCCTCTCTGTTTAGAGTGCCCTTGTCTACCCCCACTACATTTCTGGCCCTCCCTTATGGCCAGCTTAAATATTACATCTCTCTGAAGTCTTTCCTGATGCTCAACAGGCATCAGCCACTTTTTATCCTACGTCACTATTCACAACCTGGCTTATAACATCTATTACTGTAATTACTTATTTCTATGTGTTGTCTCTCTAGATCCCCAAGGGCAGGAATTGTGCCTGCCAAGTGAAAAAACAAAAGTTTGCAAGGCAGGATCTGGAGCCTTCACACAGACCTAAATGTGAAGTCTAACTTATCGGCTACCCAGCTTTGCACAAATTCCTCTCTGATTCTATTCCCTTGCTGTAAAATAGAGATAACACCACTACCTTTGTAAGAGTATTTATTTATTTATTTATTTTTATTTATTTATTTTTAATTTTAAGATTTTATTTATTTATTTGACAGATAGAGATCACAAGTAGGCAGAGAGGCAGGCAGAGAGAGAGAGAGAAAGGAGGAAGCAGGCTCCCCACTGAGCAGAGAGCCCTATGTGGGGCTTGATCCCAGGATCCTGGGATCATGACCTGAGCCAAAGGCAGAGGCTTTAACCCACCGAGCCACCCAGGTGCCCCTGTAAGAGTATTTAAACAGTTAGAAATAACATATGTCAAATTTCAACCTTAGTCCGTGGCATAAAACTGGTATTGAATAAGTGGCAGCTAGAATTCTCATTGTGCACTCACTTTTCACTGTTTTTCTAAACTTGAACTAAGCTGTGACCTATTATCTGATATGTGTATTATTCACTAAGCATAGTATCATCTCTTAGTCTTAAATGAAAATGTGGGTGAGCGGAATTTTATTTCTCAGTAGGCAGCAGCAGTCTACTTGGAAGGTGCATTTTATTAACAGCTCTTCTCAGGGCACTTGGCATGATCTGAAGATAAACAATCCCTGGAGTCTGTTCTCTGTGTTTTTTGTTAGGCCTCTACGACATAAATAGGATTGAAAATAAAAATTAATGCACAACTTTTAGATTATTTATTATGGGAGGGTCAAGAAACTCCCTGCAGGAGCATTCTCTAGAGATTGGGAAAGAAGAGTATGTCCCAAGACCTGTTTGGTCTAAATCCAAGAGAAAACCCAGCTGTCTTCCAAACATTTTCCAGGAAAACTAGGATAGGTGTGTGTTTCAAGAATGTCTCTAAAAATAGCAAATGATCAATCACAGGTAGACAAATAAGAAATATACTGTAAATGCCATTGCTTCTTGTTCCTCTCTATCTTTTGTACACTGAACTCTCATCTGGTTTACTAACTTTGGTGTGGCAGACGGAACATGGCTCAGAAGTCTTGAGTCCAGTCCTGGCATGACCCCTAACTGAGCTCCTCATATCAACTCTCTGAACTACAGTTCTCTTCAAATAAAAAGTCAAACTATTCAGTGTCTTCTAGAGTTATAGGAATCCACATCTTTGTGGATTTCTTTGCCCTACTAGTTTGTCCATTGACATCCTACTTCTAGTAGGGTTCACCAGATCATACCTTTAACCCACCATCCTTGGCACAAACTATAGCCTACCAGTGGTATTGCAACATCCTCATATGGCAGCTTGTCTTCTCGCCAAGCATCATCAATCAAATCCAAGATCCTTCCATCTCTCTGTACCTCACTGTCCATTCTTCTGCAGCTTTGATCTTGTCAGATCTGTAAGTCAAAGAGATTATTTCTTAAGCATGAAGGCTGAGGAGGTGATGTAATCGAGCATTAGGCTTCCCCAGGCTTTTTAGCCTTCATGTATCTTTTGGTATAACACCACCCTGGGAAATGGGAAAGACTCATCTTCTCATCTGGGTCAGGTGACAATCTAGTTCTAAGATCCCAGTCTCTCCCTACTGCCCATTCCCTTCCCCCAACCCATGGATGCTTTATAGCACATACAGGACAGACAGCAGACATAGCCTAGTTGACAGACCAGTGTCACAGCATGACAGAAGCCTTGTGTACAAGGCCACAGTATATCTAAACATAGGTTTTCTCTCCTAATTTGCATATTCACCTTTCCCTGTTCAGAATGCCTTCAATGAATCCCTAATTAATAACCAAGTCTCCTCTCTGTCCCTGTTAGCCTTTTTCTGCACTATGTTTTACAAAAAAGTCTCTACCTGCCTCAGCTTTAATATTAGCATTCCTAGGCACAGGAGCTAAATGAACGTATTGAGATAATGAACTGGGCTATACAAAGTGACCAACCACAGGGCTGACAGAAATCCTCAGCTCAACTTTTAAAGGAAACTGTCTTTCTTAAAATAGTGCCCAATCCAAGTTCTGAAAGGAGCACCTGAAGCAGGTGAACAACAGCAGCAGGACCTCAGCTGTTGGACCAACAGCTGCTCATTTCTGCTTCCCTTTGGGGTTCTTTCCTCTTTTAATGCTGTACTCCCTTCAACGCCTGGACCAAGTGGTCAAGATATTACTTAGCTCCTTGGCCATGACTGACTACTTTTTCTCCTAAACATCTGCAGCCTACCTCTGGATTCTGTTTCCTAGTGCGGGCTCTGCTGCTCCATCATAGGTTCACTTTACTGTGTTCCCTGCCACAAAGCAGTCATCCTGATGGCCTGGAAGCCAGGGGCACCAAAGGAACTCCCAGTCACTCCTAGTTTCTGAGGCTAGGAGCATTCATAAAAGGAACAATCTTTAGGGGTGGACTCCAACTCCTTCATACAGACCTATGCTTGGCCCCAGTAGCATGACTGCATAATAGCCCTAATGCCTGGGTAATAATTATTACAGGTTGGGGTTGGATAAGAGTTTTTAACCCCATGGTAAAGAGTCAGGCAAAACTGAAGCAGAAGGTGCCCAGCAATTTTGGCTACCAGTGAAACAGTTGAAGCCTTGATGTTTCACTCAAGAATTAATCCAGCACTACCCCATGGAAAACTCAAAACAAGTATAAGGATATTGTCTTTAGAAAATGTACACACAGTTCCAGTTATATTTTTGGAATTCCTGTCCCACAAGAGCCCTTTTTCCTGCTGCCAGTCCTGTGTCCTTGCTGCTCTGTCCCCTGCGATACCCTCATTTTTCCAGTTGATCAGAACTAGCTAATTCTCCCAGTCATACACAGATTCCACCTTTCTGTCAAGTTTTTTCAAGCCTCAGTGAGCATTTGGCCCTTGAATGTCTCCTTCTTGTCTTTATGATCCACTTAACAAGTCAGGTAGTCTTTGTAACAGATTTCTCAGGTATCAGTGTCTACAATTATTATGTGTAAATATTGCAGACTCTTTCCCAAAGATGTGCTTTTTTGCAGCACATCTTTCCCAAATTTGGCCTCAATCTTTTCTCACCGTCCCTTTCCCAAACACCACTAACCCTGCCATACTTTCCAGCCTTTGCACTTAAAAGCCTTTTTCCTCCTCAGTAACGCTTATTTTCCTTTCAAACTCAACACTGGTGTCAGCTCATCTGGCTAACATCTCATTTCCAGAGTCAGGCCCTACAGTGCCTTCACTCTTCAGGGGCTGGCAGGGTGGAAAGCATCAAGACAGCCAACGTCCAGGACACAGCCACTGTCCAAAGCACCTGCCACACTCGACAGAATGAAACACTACCACCTTCCTGAGCAAACTTTTCTTACACATGTAACAGTTCCGATGCCTAGAACGCTCGTTACAATTTTTTTGTTTCCAGCTAAACTCCAGTCTAAAAAATTTGGCTCCCAGGTCATCTCCTGCAGGAGGTCTGCTCCTAGACCCAGGGGGAGCACGGTACCCGTCCTTCCTGGAGTCCCTTAGCTCCCCTGGTGCAGCGAATGGTCCCAACTGGGAGCTTGTCACACTGTCCGTTACAAGGTTTTTCCAAACCCGCGGCACGTGTCACCCGACTCCTGTGCTCTGCAATTCTACAAACGTATAGTCACACGAAATAAACGAGATGACCGTCTACCTAGCTAGAATTGACCCTCGCAGGCCACCACCATCCGTACACAAGTGTGGGCCCGCCCCCGTCCCGGCTTCCGGTTGGATCTACCAAATGTGGAAGAGGGGAGGTCCAGAACTGCCTCGCTAGTGCCCTTCCACTGTCCATGGCGTGCGGAAAGGAAAGTGATTGTGAAGATGAAGTGAGACATCGGCCTCAACTGACGGAAGGTTGGAAAGGGCGACGCTAAGGAACCCACGCGTCCCCGGACCTCCAAAACCAAGACTCGGGGCGCGGGAAAACCTTACCCGCGCCGAACCCAGCGCCGCACCCGCTTCCACACAGCCCCGCCCCCCTCAGCCTCACGTGACCCACGCGCCTTTCTCACCGATCCCCGGATGTGGGTGAGCCCATATGCTTGCACGGAGGGGAGGCCTGGGAGGACACTTCTTCAATTCAAAGTGAGGGGGCGGTGGGCGGAACGAACGTGGCGACGCCGGAGGCTGGACGTCGGGTCGGCGGTGACGCGCGTGCGCGCCCCCGGCCGGAGGTAACGGCGGGAAGTCTCGGGGGCGCGCTCGCGCAGTCCCAATAACCGCATGGGCGCCTGGTGGACTGGCGAGGGGCGGGCGTGTCCTGTTCCGGAGGCAGCTCTGGCTGCGGTGGCGCCGCGGCCTGCGCGGCCGTATGGCCCGGGGCCGGCCTCCGCAGCAGCCCGCTGGCCACCAGGCCCGCCCTCGCCGGCCCGGGTCCGCTGCGGCGCCGGGTCCGTCGGCCTCCCCGCGTACGCCCTGCGGACCCGCGAAGGCGGATATGGCCTTGCCCGGCGCGCCGTACCGGCCAGCCAGGTGGTCAGCCCTTCCCCAGAGGCCGGGCCGGCGGGAGGGCGGCGGGGGGTGCGAGCAGCTGCCGCCGAGTCCACGTCTACCGCGGCGGAACCAGCTGCGGGCCGCTCTTCCTTTGCAGAGGAGGGACCCCCGGCACAGCCCTCCCGCCTAGGCTGCCTTATCTGGTTAGCTTCCCAGCATTGTTGTGACTTAGGCCATTGACCGCACGTGATGCCGGTTCACTTAGGGGGGAATTTTAGCAAGTCTTAAAAAGTGAGTTAATGTTAGTACAGGAGGTACGGAAATGTGGCAGAAGTCTTGAAGGACTGAAGAAGTTCAGAAGCCCTGCGTTTGCGGATTGGTCCATACAAATCAGGGGTGGGAGATAAATGATAGGCCGAGAGTTTAAAAGGGACAGTTCCTTAGGAGCACTTTAATCGGGAAGCTATTTGAGGACAGTAAATCTAGAATCAGTGTTTTTCTTACATTCCTTACAACATCAGAGTAAAAATGAGTCTGCTGTCAATGACTGGTCTTCATTTACATTTAGGGTACCCTTATGTGCACGAAATAGTTTTCATTGAGCCTTACATGCAATTCCTTCAATTTCATTCCTTTAATAAAACAGTATTGTAGGGTGGGTACACTGCTGTTACAGAGTTCCCCTCGTGCTTGCGTTCCATTTTATAGATGTGAAGAGGAAGTCATAATAAGGATCATCAACTACATATTACTTTCAAATATTTACATATACTTAATCATAGCTGTAGCTTAATGGTATAACAAAATACATGTATTTTCTTAGTTGAAATTAAGTGCCGCCTTTAGATTTGTGCAGCTTCTTGCCCTTTGGCTATGTCACTATCCGTGATCAGTATAGTAAAAATGAAATTAAAATGGGTTAGAGATTCATAAACATTTATTAGACATTCACACTGCCCTTAAAAATGTATGTAGATTCAGGTTTTTAAAAACTGTTTCTAATAATTGCATATGTTAGTTGTACTGTGCCATTTTCCTCCCATTAGAAGGTAGAAGACCTTTGCTTAGTCCTTCCCTTTCTCATTTATGTAGTAGTGGTAGCCTGCTGGACAGCATCCTTAATCTACTCTGATATATCAGAGTTGTCTTCTTAACCTTTTCAGCCACCCAGGTGCCTCCAGAGTTACCTACTTTAAAAAAAAAGTCAGCTTGATTTGAAATTTATCTGAAGCTAACATGAACAGAGGTTGCAGAGATTGAATTTATTTTTAGGTTGTTTCTTTTTTTTCCTCTGAAAGCTAAATTTGCTTTTTTGGTTTTATAAAAGTGGATTACTGTCATCACACCTATGAAAATTTGTAAGAATTCCATGTTAGTATTCAGTCTGGGTTCAGATTTCCCCATCTGTCCCTTTGAAATGACCTTTTACAGTTAGCTTCTTTAAATCAAAATCCCATAGAGGTCCACATGATGTATTTGGTTGATACATTGTTTAAATCTTTTTTAATAGGGCAGTTCCCTTGTGTCTCTTTTCCCCCTCAGTATTCTAGATTTAGCTTAATGCATCTGCATGACATCCTTTTAACAAGTACATCTTTCCCTTTAAACCAGTAGTTAGATCTAGAATTGCACTGTCCACTATGGTAACCACCAGCCAGCTCTGGCTATTTAAATTAACTAAAATGAAATAAAATTAAAAATTCAGTTTCCTAGTTTTGTTAGCCATATTTCAAGTGCCCAATAGTCAAAGGTGCCTCGTGGCTACCCTCTAAATGGTGCAGACATAAAATATTCCAATAATTGCAGAAAGTTCTGTTGAATAGCTCTCCTCTGGAAGATCAGACTTAACCTTAAATTTATTTATTTTTTTTGTGGGGGTGAAGACGATTCCTAGGTGATGCAGTAGATAATCTATTGCATTAATTATCAGAGCGACATGAAGTGTCTGAGCTCTCTTGTGTTAAGATTGAGGAGTGTAATGCGTTCAGGTATTGTTAGCCCAATCCATCCATCCTGAAATTCCCGATGAGCTTTTCACTTAATGGTGAAATCTTTTTATGGATTTAGATCACCTATATCCATTATTGCATTATGGATTGCAGAATGGTGATTTTCTAATCCTATCATTCCTTCAGTATTAGCTAAAAATCTTCTATGAAGAAGAACTCTACCCCACCAGCTATTTGACTGCCATCAGCTATATGAAATATAGCTTGTACAGGAAAGGCAAGAAGAATGCTTAATTCTTTCCCTGTTTTCAGACTACAGTAATGAGGTGGTGGCCTACCAATCTCCAAAGGTAACCAAGAGGGGTTTTGCCTTTTTTTTTTTTTTTTTAATCTTCATGGACTTGACTATATTTAAACTGTTTCAATTTGTTGCAGTCTTTTTTTTTTTAATACTCAAATTGCTCTGCCTTTGGTCAGTGCCACCTCTTTATGTTGGCTCCTGTCCATCTTCACATGATCAGTAGTCTTTGATAATTCATTTCCCTATTTTCTGGTAAAACATGTTCTTTCATCATTTATACATTAATGGCTACCAAAAAGCCCTGGTTCCTTTGGGTGGGAGATGGTATTTAGAGACCCTAGTCTGGGTGCTAGAGGTGCTCATGGTGCCAGGTTGGTCAGTGGTTCTAGGATTTACAGTGGCCAGAGTTAGGAAATACATATATTTTTAAATATACAGAATTCGCACTGATACTTATATTTTAATGTAATTTTTTATATTTGTTTTTATGTTTGGGTCTTTTTGTCTTGCTGAAAATCTTGGAACCTAATATCGTTAATGTAATTACTTTTTTCCCCTATCCTATATTACATATATTGATTTCAGATTATACCAATTTTATTATTAACAATATGATTCCTGAATAGTGTTTAGGATTTCTTTGCAGTTCTTTTTTATCTTTAGTTATATTCCACTTGGGATGGATTACAAGTACCATAGAATTATTGCATTTTAAAGGTATGTGAAACATTTTATTATATGGTTAGTTTTCCACCTTGATATCTAATTGATAGTTGATTTGTTTCATTTTGTTTCCAGTTTTTCCAAACTGCTTTTCCCCCCCCATTTGGATTTGATTTATTATATGTAAAACATTAACATAAAACTAGTACTATAAAACACAGATATCCAGACAAGTTTAGTGTTCATTCCTCTTTTCTCTACCCTAGTTTTCTTTCTTTTTCTTTCTTCCTTTCTTCCTTCCTTTCTTTCTTTTTCTTTTTTTAAGGAAAATATTTATTTTGAGAGAGAGAGAGTGAGAAAGGACAAGCAGAGAAGCGGGGCAGAGGGAGAAGCCAACTCCCAACTGAGCAAGGAGCCCAGTGTAGGACTTGATCCCAGGACCCTGGGATCATGACCTGAGCAGAGGGCAGATGCTTAACTGACTGAGCCACTTAGGCACTCCCTAGTTCCCTTTCTTATAGGTATCATATTTAGTAGCTTGGGTTTATCCCTCCATAAAAACAAATGCATTATCTGCTTGCTTTCCCCCCCTAGTAATATATGCCTTGTAGATCCTCCTAAGAAGTATGTTCTCTGTTTTTACAGCTTCATAATATTCCACTGGTAGATGAATATTCAATTAGTCCCCGTTGATAGGCATTTGTGTTGTGTGCAACTGTTGCATATAGTGCTGTACTGTGTGTCCTTGTACATACGTGATTTTGTATTTTTGCCATTGTAGCTTTGGGAAAGCTTCCTAGAAGTGGCATTGTTGGATCAAAGGGTAAAGGCATATTTTTTAGGTGCTAAGTATTGCCAAAATCTCAATAGAAATTGTACCATTTCCCATTCCTGCCTACAATGTATGTGAGGGCCCTTTTTCCCATAAATATACTTTGTCATAAGAGTATATTGTCAAATTTTTGAGTTTTGGTTAATCTAAATACAGAAGAAAAGGTAACTTGTGTATTTTAAATTTGTATTTCTCTTCTTGTGAACAAGATAGAGCATCTTTTCATGTGTTTTAGTTAATTAATTTTAAGCGTTTATTTTAATTTCCATTAATTAACATACATTGTTTTATTAATTTCAGGTGTACAAAATAGTGATTCAACAATTCCATACATCACCCAGTGCTCATCAGGACAAGTACACTCCCTAATCCCCAAACCTATTTCACCCATCTCTCCACCTACCTCCCCTCTGGCAACCATCAGTTTGTTCTCTATAGTTAAGAGTATGTTTCTTGGTTTGTGTCTCTCTCTCTGTCTCTTTCTTCCCTTTGCTCATTTGTTTTGTTTCTTAAATATATGATTAAAATCATATGGTATTTATCTTTTTCTGACTTATTTTACTTAGCATTATACTCATTATACTCTCTAACTCCATCCATGTCATTGCAAATAGAAAGATTTCATTTTTTATGGCTGAGTTATATTCTGTCATATGTATATATCCATGGAAATATGTATATCAATCCATTATGTCTATGTATATTTATCTATATATCTGTCTCACCTCTTCTTTATCCATTTGTCAACTTTTGGACACTTGGGCTGCTTCCATATCTTGGCTGTTGTAAGTAATGCTGATCTTATATGTTTAAGGTCATTTGCATTTCTTTTTCTGTGAACTACTTGTTCATAATTTGTGTGCATTTTTTTATAGATTCCTTTTCTCCCCCCTCAATTTTTATTTTTATTTTATTATTATTTTTTAAGGATTTATTTATTTT